CATATCGGTTAAATGCATACTTGACATTAGAGAAAAACATTGATGAAGGGGGCAAATGTATTAACTAGATGTATTTCACTGGTGGAATTCATTCACTGGTGGAATTCAATAATCGGTCGCTACAAAATATACTGCAATTAATGAGTTTCTTCAGATCCCTCAAAAGGAGAATAAAGTCTTCAGAATTAGGGACCACAAGTTTGATGCAGACATAACATAATCGAGGTTAAATAAAGTGATAAAAAATAATTTCTTTGGTGACTTCCATGACATACTTCCAAAAGAAATAGTGAAACTACTTATGATGCACTTTTTAAATAATTAACGGCAACTACTTTTAGTTATTTGATGGGTCAGTGAAAGGAGTTGAATATAAAGAGACATATTTCCGAGAACAAAATGGCATTTCTGTCAAGAATTGTTTCAGCATGAATAAATATTTCTATATCATGTTCAACCGCTTTTCTTACCTTCTTTTTTATTTCATTCATAAAAATTCTCAAGGAACAGAATTAAAAAGTTTTAAGTTAAAAATTTATTTTTTTTTATGTGTAAAAAACGTTTTATTAACCATTAGTTTACCATACCGAGTTATCTCTGGCAAATAAGTCTTTGTGGGATAGTTTTTTAAAACAAGTGATTCTTTCAAGTGATACACATTTTACTCTTTTTTTTCTACGCAACCATCGTATATACCAGTGTTTCCCAAACTTTTGCATACCCTCTCTAAATGTTTCGTAGCCCTCATAAAAAAATGAATGTATTTTTTTGCTGTAAAAAAAATTGCGCAAACGTTAAAAATCACAACTGGCTGTTGACACCACACATTATTAACTGTTAATTTTGATGAAAATAGCCAATAGAAAAATACGCAATTGTAAATTTTCATGGCTAGCTTTGTTTTTAAATAAAAAATTTTGAAATTTTCGTTTGTTGCAACATATTTCGCATAAGAACTAGTACCCACGCTAAACTGTTCCCGCACCCCTGGGGGTACCACACTTTGGGAAACACATACAATCGCATAAAACACGCGCTGTCCCACAATCCAACACCAAAACTTCCAAACGAAACTTTGCAAACTTCTAACCACAGCAAATTATTATTAGTATTTAGGTCGCTTAAAACAAAACAGACAAACAAATTCTCCGACTTTTCTCGGGATTATTGGGGGTAAATATAAGCCAATATTTTTTATTCAAAACGATTTTGAACGTAAACAAAGTTCGGTCCTTTAAAGTAGTCACAACAAAAGTAGTTATAGCCACATTTTTAAAGCTGTAGTGTAATAAAATGTATTTAACTACAAAAATAATCTAGTACCCAGGAACTCTGTTCAGACATTCCTAAGCATTTTATTAAAAAAATTATTTTGAGTTGTTTCTCTTTTTAAAATGGAGCAGCCATTTTTTCCCAACTCATGACATAATAACATTTGTTTTGGTTTTACCTACAAATTATATCAGCATAGCAAAAAAAATTATATTAAAATAGTGGAGATTTAATGACTCTCAGTTCGTTTATCAAAACAAACAGAAACGCATAGGGAAAAACGACTGTTGTCATTCCTAAAACAAAAATTAATTTATTCGAAAAGATATAAAACGTTCCATTTACATCCATGTTTTATTATCTTATTACAATGTCATCTACAATAGCTCATTTATAAATGGGTGTTTTTCTATATAGAGGGAATGTGTTATTCTTAAGAAAAGGAAGTGGAAAAAGTTGAATATATGGCTACCTTTCTACAGAAGCAGATTCGAGTAAGTGTTCATTACTCCGCCAAAAGATTTTGCACACTTTATAAACCTTCTTTAGCTCTACCCTAATTTTGAGATCCACTCACTGCTAAATATATAAGTTAACATTTCTACAATATACGCAAACGACAAAAAATTTAAAACTGTGATTTTTTATACATTTGGCATTTACGTGTAATAAGCTACTTATTATAAAAAATATATGCCTATATATATATATATCTGTAGGGCATACCAGGTAGTGGCACTGAAACTTAAAAAATGTATGTAGGGCATACCGGGCAGTGGCACTGAAACTTAAAAAAATGTATGTAGGGCATACCGGGCAGTGGCACTGAACCTTAAAAAAAATTATGTAGGCAAAAGTTTATTACTTTAATTAGGAAATGAATCTCGCTTTCGACATTTCGCAAGAATGAGATAATTTCAATGATTTTCCATTTCATTTTATTTTATAACAGCCGTTGAACAGCCGACCCAATTTTGGACTTGCGGCAACTAATGTTCAACACCGTTGCGTTGTCATTTTAAAACCAATTCAGAAGACAAAGGATCAAGTATTGGGTGGGAAGACTTTTTGAGGCAACTTACCCACATTTGCGTAACAGGGAGAGGACGATAACTTTCCACAGTTAGCTTGACGGCAAGGGAGTCTAACCTATTATCCGTCAGCCACTGAGGATATTTCACGTCAGTGCGAGCCGGGTGCGGAATTCGAATCGACCAGCCATTGCTGGGATTCGAACCCGGTTCACCTGATTCTAAGGCGAAAGCTCTATCCTCTAAGCCACCACGGCTATGAGGACTACATTGCGATTGACAAATTCTATTTTGATATGTTGCTTGGTAATAATCCCCAGAATAGCTTATTTTTTAAAAAAAAAAGTTGCTAGACTTAAAACTATTTTTCATTCTAGCCATTTGGGTTTTTCGTGTTTCTCTTCCCTCTGTAACACAATAGTTTAAATACATGAGAAATTTTGGGAAAAGAGAGTTTTACAGAAAAGTCTCTTGATATTAATGCAGGTTGGTTCTAAATTTATTAATCAAAATAATTACCTCAGGAATTCGAGTATTCAAGTTCTAGTATTTTTTATGCGATGATCCTTTATTTCAGTGTAGCTGAATAAGTTGAATTTCTGTTATAATTACCACGGGAACCATCGTTGCGAGAAAATAATAAATTCTCCTGCAGTTTATGCAAGACGCATAAACCTCGCAGATAAAAAAAAGAAAAGAAAAAAAAATATATGCGTCAAAATGCTGAATTGCCTGAATCCTTTTATCATAGGGGCTGGGGTGGAAGGTCACGGGGACCTCCCAAGCATTTTCACTATTCAGCATACTTATTATTTATATTTATCAATTTTATGTTCTCACTTTTATGTACTTATGTTTTAGGAACACAAATGAAATTATTACACTTTTTTAAAATAGCAATATTTTTTTAAAAATAGTTATAAAAGAGCCTTAGTGATTCAGGGGCCTTCCTATGAGGTGAAGCGGAGTTCGAATCCCAACGATGGCTGGTCGACGCGAATGCCGCTCCCAACCGACCACAGTGCTGACGCAAAATATCCTCAGTGGAGTCCCCTTGTCGTGAGATTTTCCCCTCCATTTAACGCAAATGCTGGCTAGTTCCATCAAAAAGTCCTCCACTAAGGCAAATACCAGAAGTTCCCTTGTCTTCTGAATTGAGTTCAAAATGACAAGAACATATCGGTTAAATGCATACTTGACATTAGAGAAAAACATTGATGAAGGGGGCAAATGTATTAACTAGATGTATTTCACTGGTGGAATTCATTCACTGGTGGAATTCAATAATCGGTCGCTACAAAATATACTGCAATTAATGAGTTTCTTCAGATCCCTCAAAAGGAGAATAAAGTCTTCAGAATTAGGGACCACAAGTTTGATGCAGACATAACATAATCGAGGTTAAATAAAGTGATAAAAAATAATTTCTTTGGTGACTTCCATGACATACTTCCAAAAGAAATAGTGAAACTACTTATGATGCACTTTTTAAATAATTAACGGCAACTACTTTTAGTTATTTGATGGGTCAGTGAAAGGAGTTGAATATAAAGAGACATATTTCCGAGAACAAAATGGCATTTCTGTCAAGAATTGTTTCAGCATGAATAAATATTTCTATATCATGTTCAACCGCTTTTCTTACCTTCTTTTTTATTTCATTCATAAAAATTCTCAAGGAACAGAATTAAAAAGTTTTAAGTTAAAAATTTATTTTTTTTTATGTGTAAAAAACGTTTTATTAACCATTAGTTTACCATACCGAGTTATCTCTGGCAAATAAGTCTTTGTGGGATAGTTTTTTAAAACAAGTGATTCTTTCAAGTGATACACATTTTACTCTTTTTTTTCTACGCAACCATCGTATATACCAGTGTTTCCCAAACTTTTGCATACCCTCTCTAAATGTTTCGTAGCCCTCATAAAAAAATGAATGTATTTTTTTGCTGTAAAAAAAATTGCGCAAACGTTAAAAATCACAACTGGCTGTTGACACCACACATTATTAACTGTTAATTTTGATGAAAATAGCCAATAGAAAAATACGCAATTGTAAATTTTCATGGCTAGCTTTGTTTTTAAATAAAAAATTTTGAAATTTTCGTTTGTTGCAACATATTTCGCATAAGAACTAGTACCCACGCTAAACTGTTCCCGCACCCNTATTATATTATATTATATTACATTACATTACATTACACTACACTACATTATATTATATTATATTATATTATATTATATTATATTATATTATATGCATACTTATGTTCATAAATGAAAAATAATTCAGAATCACACGGAAATTGAACGTGTGACAGTTTCGTTAGCATCCATTCCTATATAACATTTCTTGGTTTCAGGAATTTTCGTTTCTTCCTCTTTCATTTTCAGAAAACAATGATTTAACTAAAAAAAAGTTTTTTATAAATTTAAAAAAAGTTTTTGCAGAATATTTAATAGTATCGTTTTCTTCTCTTTTTTTTTTTCTCTTTGCAATCAGATCAAGAAATTCTTACTTTCGGTAGAACAATTTATTTAAAAAGAAATGATCAAATTTCTATTAAGAAACTTTCACTCCTAGTCTTTGATAATACCAATAGATGTCGCTACCAGTCATATTTAAGCCAGCCAGTTATCTAGAAAAGAGTTTTTCTCGGAACATATTAAAGCGAATAAAACGCAACGCAAAACTGACTAAACATCATTTTAAACATTGAAATACAATGCATTAATGAATGTTCTTTAAAAAAAAAAAGGATATTTCATTCCTCTCATATTCGAAAATATGAAACAAGAAAAGATTCTTTAACGATAAAAAAAATAATAATCCTTGTTTTCAATCTGCCAGGTACTTTTGTGCATGACCATAGCCTTAATTCCAATTTGTGACTCCAATAAAATTAAGAGTCACCACTCTTTGTTCGTGAGTTTTCCGTTTTAACAACAACAGAAAATTTCAGACATGGAGGAAGCAAGCTTAGCTCTGGTAAGACTATCTTTACAAGGATATATATAGTCGGACCTCTATTTAACGAATTTCCATTTTGCGAATTTCTCTATTTTGAGATTTTTTTCAAGGAACCAAGAACATTTTGGAAAATTTCATCGTAATATAACTTTCAAATAGCGAAGGGAATTTTCTATTGAACGAGCTTTTCTTTGATATCTACTTTCCCTATTTCTAAAAATATTTCAGAACAATTCAAACTTGTTAAAGCATTTTATGGGTGAAATGACCCTAAATTAATTTTCGAAGCCACTTAACTTTTAGAGAAAGCAGTAAAAACCCTTTCCCTTTTTGTTTGTATTTCAAACGAAAAACTCGGAACGAAAATTTTATCAATAGCAATTAAACTTAAGAAAGCATGTGATAATGTATGTTTATTATTACTTTTATAATAAATGCAATATATGCGGCATGATAGTATATTACTGGATAACGAGTTTTGCTCTATTCTTGCTTTCCATGCAGATTTCTTTTATGAATAAATAGTAGATACTAAATTACAAGATAAAAGTGTATCAATTGCTATTTTAATTACGTCTAGTGTTTATGAATTTAAAGCCTGTTTGGTGTTTAAGTATTTAAAAAGGCGATTTGCTACTAAACGAATTTTCCATATAACGAACTTATTAGGATTTAGCGACTTTGTTAAATAGAGGCCTGACTGTGTGCGTGTGTATGTATATATATATATACCCTCCAACTGCTACGAAATTTCCGTAGTTGCTACGGAAATTGGAGGTAAACTACGGAGCTACGGGTGAATNCGAACAAATAAGAAGAAAGTATATATATATATAGTAAATTGCGATTAAAACTTTTTTTGCCAATTTTTTCCCGATCACTACTTTTTTCGTTGAAAATATCCCCATGAGGATTTAATTATTATTTTTGTTAAAAAACAAATTGTTATGAAAAATATTTTTAAAAATTATTTCTTTCTTTAAATATTTCATGATTTTAGTAGGATATTTAAGAAATGCTTCAACATAAACATTTTACTCGTTTATGATTTTTTAAATAGTTAAAAATGACAAATATCCCAATTTTTCCCTCTTATTTTGATTTATTTTTTCAATTCCTACTATTAGTTCATACTATTATCTTGTTCATATGTTCAATCTTTCATAAAATACTTTTTACTCATTGTACTCAAGTTCAGATTTTTGAAATCTGTAGTGGATGACATTTGATGTTAATGCAGTTTTTTTAAATATTAATTCATTAATTAAATTTAATTAATTTAATTTAATTTTACATGGGAGAAAAATTTTTAATTATTTAATAAAAAGTAACTAAAACAAAATTTTTCTTTGATGACCCATGAAGGAATTGACTTTTAAAAAATATTATTATTTTTTTGTTGAAACTTTTAAAAAAAAGTTAAAATAAATAAAAGGATAAAAAGAAAAAATAGTTTTGAGGTCGAACCATCCAGCAGCGTCTGTATCACAACGGGTTAGGATTTTTACTTAAACTTTTCTAATATTAACTTTAATCATTATCTGAAAACTAGCTAAATTTGATAGCAAATTATGCTGGTTTAAGAAAATTGTGGTTGTAGAATTAGCCATCTATCTGGACTATTTTTAAAATTTGCGATTACGATATTTTATTCTCTTATATCTAGGAATAAAGAGGTACGCAATGACTCTTTATATATTTTATACATTATATATATGTAATAATATTTTTAAATATTTATTAAATTGTCTTATGAAATGTTCATAATAATGCAAAAATGTGTAATATTGCAAATATATATTTAAGAATTATATAATGTAAATTATGGTTTAAGAAGTAAAACAAAGAATCGTTTTCCAGAGTTCTCTTCACTTGTGGGTTAACACGGAAGTCTCTCGCAGAATCGCGCCAAAGCTTGTCCTAAACACTTGAAATATTTGTACCTCGTTACCAGAGTCACCGCCACGGATCCAGACTAGGGGAGCTTTTACTTTAGACAAACTATAATTTTCGATTCCACCCTTCCAGTAAAAATCTTTTAAACACTACAACACTAGTTATTAATATTTATTTTATTATCACTATTTGATACGCTTACTTCGATGTTTTATATAGTTCAATTAATTACTAAAATAAATAAAAATGTTTTAGTTTCTATGCTTATGCACATTCATATGAATAATATGATTCGATGTTTTTACTTATTTTTAAATAAAATATTTTTAGTGTTCTATTCAAGATTCGTAGTTTTGAAATTCCCCATTGAGGAACGAAGTAATATTTTAAAAATTTATATAGGCCTTGCTAACATTTTTTAAATTATTATTTTTAAACTTCATTTTTTTTTTTTTTTAGTTGAGACTTTTTGACTCTAAAATGGCCATTTTTCTAAAGGTCTTAGGTTCAAGTCTTGGGGGTTCACTAAACCTGCCCCCTCCCTCTAAATTAACTTTTTTTTTAATACTACGCAGGATTTTAATTTGAATTTTATACCGTTTCCAAAACATTTGTTTATATTCAGAATTGTTTTCTAATTTTCATTTATTAACGGCTGTTTTTGACTGAGATAAACATATGCCAAAATGTTTTTTTTGTTTTTTTTTCTTTCTTAGAAAAACCTTCATCAGTGCAACCTGTTGCACTGATGAGGGTTGCCCTTTGAGCATCCGAAACAGCTGTCTGCATAAATATTTTTCTGCTCCTAAACGTTGTTTACCTTAGTTTGTATTTTAGCACAAAGGTCGGCCACTTGTGTATTTACAACAACTAATATTCAACGACATAGCCTTGTAATTTTGAACCCAATCCAGAAGACAAGGGAACTCCAGGATCAAGTATTGAGAGAAATTTCTCCTTCGTGGAGGAGTTTTTGATGGAGCTAACCAGTAATTGCGTTACATGGAGAGGAAGACCACGAGAACTTCCACGGTTAACCTGACGGTAAGGGGACCCATGAACCACTAACGATATTTCACGTCAGCACTGTGGTCGGTGTAAGCAGGGTGCGGTATCAACCAGCCATAGCTGGAACCCGGTTTACCTCATTGCAACACTCTAGCCATCACGGCTCTTGGTATAATTGAAATCAGTGGCCGGAAGTAGTCCCACTTTAGTCCTACATTTTCCGTAGTTTGTAGTGCTCTACTTTTGAAAAGATGCAGAGAGATACAAAGAAGTTAGTAGTGATTCCTGACAACTACTTTTAGCGCTAGACAAAATTCAAAAAAGTGTCCGAATCTGATTGGTGCAAATCCTCCACTGGCCTGTCAACGAGATGAGAATGCCTCAGTGGTCGAGCGTCAATAAGATCTATGTCTGATGCTCGAAAAAATCAGTGCGGTCGAATCGTTCCTGAGAAATCTGACATTTTTAAAATTCGATTTCACAGGAACTATAAAGTACGTTTTTGTATCTGATGTCGTAACTTAAAATATCGTCTGCATTTAAATATCATCTGCAACTTAAAAATATCGTCTGTCGTTGTTCAATCATTAAGATTGAGTTTTAGAAAGTGAATATCCGATCAAAAGTTATTCAGGGTGGTCCGTTTTTTATTTTTCGCACTGTATTTTATTTCATGGGGGACATAAAAAAAAGCATTTACTACTAAAATCATAAATATTGAATGATAATTTCCCAGCATTTCTCAAATCACTGTCGAGATAAGCTTCAGAGTTCGAAAAAAAAATTCGTAAAAAGTGCTTTGGAATAAAAAAAAAAAAACTATTTCATGTACACATGAAACTTCTTAATTTCTCCTCATACGTAACCAAGCCAATTTTTTATTCAAAATCGTTTTGAACATTGATGAAAATGAAATTCTCCACTTAAGTCTTCTAAAAGTGGTGAAATCACTGGCCATATTACAAGACGCACTCTAAGATTCTATGTAAAATTATAATTATCTGGTGCTTTATTGTTTTTACGTACCTTGTTTACATTCGGGAATCAATTGATTAACATTGTAATGAAAAAAAAACGCACATAGGAAGAATAAAAACCCATTGCATGTATGTTTAAAAGATATTGCCTCGTGCAAATCATGCAATTATTAAAACACTACAGGGCTTGGTCGAATTAAATATTATAATATACTAATATAATGGTTGATATAATAAATATTCTATATAATGTATCGTCTAATTTATTTAATCGTCAAATTTACATTATAGTCTCATTTAACGCACGAACGTGTAAACAGTCGTATTGTAATTAAGATTTTACATAAGAATCTTGGCCTGTAGTCGCTATTTTAAGAAAGTCTCCAAAGAAAATGTAGTACCACTGATTGAAATATTGTATTTTACAGTTCCGTCAGACAGAAGAGGCTCTTGAAGAAATGGAGAAATGTATCGAACAAATAAGAAGAAAGTACAATCGGATTCTCTCCTCTCCCTTCCAAGACGAAGGTTCTTAATTAAACTATTTTTAAATACTCTTTTCGGGAGATAATTAAATTGTTCGAATATCTATTGCGTTATCTTTTCCCCAGTCCCTGACACGAAATTATCAGACGTATATTAAAAAACAAGTGACAGCTTTATTGTTTTTTCCCGACTGTTTACGCGCCTCCATCAATTGGTTAAATGAGAGATGAATTAGACCAGGGGTTGTTTCCAACTTACATGAGGGCCACAATTAAAAACACAAATCAAATGGCGGGCCGTAACTTTATCAAAATTCAATCTTTTAGGTTTAAAGGAACATTAAATATTACTGTCAGATTTTTACCAAGTTGTACAAGTATTGAATAACAAATTAAAATAAGAAGTAGATTTTTGAAAATACTTAATTGTTACTAATATTTTTAAAAATATTAAATAAATAATAAAAATTCGGGCTACGATAACTTTAATGCATTAAACAATTAATGTGCCACAGATATCTAATTGTTAAGATATAAAACTTTAAAAAGGTTGGTATTAAAACTTACATAGTGCCACACGAAATGTTTAATGAGAAAATTGAGGTTTGTCTGCTGACAATAGATATTTACATTTAAAATTTACAAATGTGTGTGTGAATATTTTCGTCCAAAATGAGTAGTTTCGAAAAGTTAAATCGGAGAATTTCTTTGAGAAAATTTCTGATACACACATGCTGAATTTTATTCACAAAATGCAAAAAAAAATGAAATAAAAAAGAGCAACATGCACGATTATTTTTATACTTGAATAAGTATTTCCTTGGATGAAAAACCCGATAACTGAATTTTATTCCACCGTTGGTATGTTAAATTTCACAGAAAGGAAGAAATTAGGTTTCTATTAACGAGAAAAGTATTTTAAACCCATATAGAATTTTTAGGAAAATTGTCCGCAAAACAATTACAACTAATATATTTCGCGGGCCACAAAAAGAGCAGTTGGAAACCCCTGAATTAGACGATATATATAGAATATGTATTAAATCACATTGTAATAATTTAGATCCAATTATTAGACGCACTGTAATAATTGCACGCATGTCATGGGTTCTTTATGTACTCCCCATCTGTATTTATTTATAACGTATTACATTTACCCATTGATACAGGAGCGTAAACATTAGAGTAAAAACAATAAAGCTGTTATACTTTTACATAGAATCTTAGAGACATGGCCAGGGACTGTACTTAATAGAACACATTTCAAGAACTTTCAATATTTATTTTTTAATAACTTTAAAGAACATTCAAGAAATTTCAAGAACAAAGCGTTTTTGAATATCAACCAAACATCAATAATTTTATTTTGCCAAAAAAAAAAAACATTTCTAAAATATTAGTGAATTAATAATTTTTTTTTTTGTTGTTGTTTCAATTAAGACGATTATCTTTTATACATTTTTTTTACTAAAATGTTATATTTTATTTTACAACTTTCTTAAAACTATTTTTGCTCAATTCTATATACATGATTTCCGTGAACGACCAAAAGAATGTTCAACAATCGCTTTGGTAATTATTCTCTATTTTATTATTCTTTATTCTGCTATTCTTTATTCCATTATTCTTTATTCTGCTATTGTTTATTATATTTTCCGTCAGGTTCTATAACCTAACTATTTTATTACGATTTTTTCCTTTTCACTTTCCCAATGAAGAGCCAGTTTTCTTAAGAGAGACTGGGTTCGATACTTGACATTTTTGATGTTGTTGAAATTTCCAAGTTTTGTTCTTTGTCTAAACCTATTAGATACCTGTTTTTTTTTCCTGCAAGATTTGGGGGGGGGGGGGAAAACATCAACATTTTGAGAAAAACTTTCTTTTCGTGAAATGAGTGATTCTAATACCATGAGACAAAAATGCTTTTAGTGAAACTTTGTATCATTTAAAATTCTTGGAAAAAAGTATATTTTCTTGGACTCTTTAAATAGCACATCTAGGCATTTATTTCTGCGAATGCATAACAATGAGTAGTACTTAAAACACATGTTCTTTTCTAGCAAATTTCATGCTTATTTAGTTTTGGTGGAGGCAGCTAATGACCTTGGTCACCCAAATAGATATACCACATATTTTTCAGTCACAGAAGTGTTTCACTTGTAGACAAAGTCTAACCTTTATTTGAGGATTTTCAAAAGATAAAGCAAAGAAAAAGTATTTAATAATTAGTGTGGAACAAAAAATAGTCACCAGTGTCACCCGTTGGGGGGAAAAAAGGGTCTTTGTTAATCGTTTTTTCTCAAAGCTCCCCATTATCTGCAGTTTTGACCTACCAAACTTCGAGAAAAAAAAATTCGGAAGAAAAAAAAATACTCGTCTTCCATAACGAGCATCCTAAAAATTTCAAAAAAATTGTGGAGATAATCCTATCGACCCCTATCAATCTATTGGGATTACAAAATCAAGATTATCTTAATTTGATCTTCCTTTACAGATGATCATCATGAACTAGATCAACTCATGACACAAATGCGTGGTCTATCAGCGAAAGCGTGGAAACTTATTAGAGGTAAAGTTTTATTTAAATCTTTGACAACGTTCGCAGTTGAAAAAATAACTTTAATTGAAATTTTTGTTAAACCATTCTTATATGTTGGTCAAGGAACGTCTTTCCGCATGAAGGCTGTTTTTCGAACTTTAATAACTTCTGTGCAACAGTAGTGAATGTTGTCCAGTCTATTTTTAGCCCTCTCTATGCATTTTCAAAAAATGTCGCAAAACGTCAAATAGACACATTTTCCCTAAAAGCGTTTGTGTTCTAGTTTTTAAAATCAATTATTCAAGCTCTATACAAAGTTTTAATTTCAAAAAATTAAATTCGAAACTCTGCATATTAGAGACACGAAAATATTTTTTAAATTTTAGTATAATTTATATAACTTATGATAAAATTAAAAAGAAAGGGAAATTTTCAACAAAAAAAAAAGGGGGTGTTTCAGATAAAAGCCAGTATCTTCTGTGGTAGTATGGATTAGAATCCCCTTGCCGTCAGTCTAACCGTGGGTCTTCCTCTCCATGTAATGCGGGTTAATTCCATCCCCCACGAAGGCCCCAATACTTGATCCAGGAGTTTCCTTGTCTTCTGAATTGAGTTCAAAATTACAAGACGAAGGAGTTAAACATTAGCAGGCTGTTCTTATGCATGAATATATTCAATAAAATTTTAAATTTGAAAAAAAAAACTTCAAATGTGGGAATATTTACTACACTTTATTTTATTTGCTGCGCGGTTTACTACTTTTGTGTTCTCGAGACCTGTTTATATGTGTACATTGCGAAAAAAAAAATACCACCCTAAGTAGCTTTTGCTCTAATGATCGTGCCTTGTGCCAAGATGGCTCAGGGATAGACGTTCGCTTTCCAATGAGGTGAACCGGGTTCGAATCCAGCGATGGCTGCTCGATTCGAATTCACATCCGGCTTGCACCGACCACAGTGCTAACGTGAAATATCCTCAGTGGTAGACGGATCATGGGCTAGAGTCTCCTTGTCGCCAGTCTCACCATTGGAGGTTCTCGTGGTTTTCCTCTCCATGTAACGCAAATACGGGTTAGTTCCATCAAAAAGTCCTCCATGAAAGCAAATTTCTCCCGATCCAGGAGTTTCCTTGTCTTCTGGATTGGGTTCAAAATTACTAGGCTATAGAATTGAACATAAGTAGTCGTAAACCCAAATATTGGGTCGGCTGTTCAACGACGGTTATAAAATAAAATAAAAAAGCATTGCTTTATCGCGACTTAATTTGTATTTATTCAAAAAAAATTTCACATTGCTTAATTTTTTACATTTAACTGTTCTCTAAATTATTTTTAAAAATTGTCTCACGGTTTTTGAATGTTTTTTTATGTTTTCAGCTGCAAAACAGAATCGTCCCAAAGAATTTGCTAAGAAATGCAGCATTCGAATGGAAAATGTACAGGTAAAGATGCAGTTTTATTCTTTGTGAATAAGGAAAACATTTTTATTTTACTATGTCTATTGTTTAAAATGCAGTCGAACCTCTATTTAACGAACTTCCATTTTGCGAATTTCTCTATTTTGCGTATTTTAGAGGAACATTTTGGAAATTACTTTTTGTAAAATAACTTCCAAATTCTCCATTTAACGAACTTTTCTCCTCTGAGATCCCTATTTTCCAAAATATTTCATTTTATGGGGGTTTCCCTTCTTGTTCGCATTTCAAACGTAATTATGCAGACAAAATGAACGGATTTTATCCATTAAACTTAAGAAAACATGTTTGTTTAAAATTTCTTTTGTAGTAAATGCAATATGCGTAACACTGGCTCTTCTTGCTTTCCATGCAGATTTCTTTTATGATTTATAAAATAAATAATAGTTTACAAGATAAATGTGTATCCATTGCTATTTTAATTACGTCTAGTGTTCCTGCTTTGTGTTGCTTAAGTATTTCAAAAGGTCATTTTCTACTTAACGAATTTTCCATATAACGAACTTATTATCGGACCTTTATTATACTTCGTTAAATAAAGGTCCGACTGTATATGGTTTGAGCAGATTTTTCATTGCTTTTCTTTATGTAAGTTACCATGATTGCAGAAAAATTACGTTTTGAGGTCACCGCGCTCTGTTTCGTTTCATCACAGTTACAGCAATCATTTTAAACAGTAATTTTCAACTCATGCATAAATGTGATGTCCCCAAACTGTAACAAATCCTCATTTTCTTCCTCATCATCAAGAGTTTCTTCACAAAAAATATTTAATTTTTTTTAAAATCAAATGTCAGTAAAATGTCGTAACGATAGAATCCTCTAATTTCAAAGACGATCAGAACAAATATTGACCCATCCCATTGTATAAATAAATGTTTTTTTAAATCGAAAGAACGTTTTTCATTCAAAAGTCGATTCTTTTACTCGTATTGTTATGGATTACATTTCTAAATTACATGATCCAATGCAAAATTTAAAATAATTTATGAGGAAAAAAATTTAATTATGAGAGCAATATTTCATTAAAATCAAAAAATATTTCAACCAAAGTTGTTTATTAAAAAAGGGGAAAAAATCTAAAAGATGATTAAAAAATGAATTTAAAAAATGCTATATAGGAAGAAGGAAAAAAATGCAAATAATAATTATAATAAAAATTTTAAAAAAATATTCTCTTATCATCAGTTATGGGATACTCGCAAGTGACGTAGTGTGGGTATCTCTATCCGGATTGGTTGTTAAAACGAGGCTTTGTTTACGTTAGCAACTGTTCTTTCCATTCTATTTCGAGTTTACTTACCCCGTCAATTCTCTCAGATGACACGACGATTTCAATTCTTTCACTCTATATTTCTTACTTAACACAAAGACGAAGCCATGTAGAACATAAACAAACTAATTATGCACCGAAGTTGCCACAAAACAAAGACATATCACGTGTTACAATAAAATACATAAACAAATAATAAATCTGAGAAGGAATTATATTTCAACAAATTAGAGCGTCGACTTTAATTAATTTCACGTTAATTAACATTCTAACTCACGTGAAAAAACTTGTCTAAACTTTGACGCGCCATTTTTTGTATTGACGATCAGCTGGCGCTGACCTCATAGGTCACATGTGTGGGTATGTTTGATCTTCTTCTTGTCGAATTGCAATTACCCAATTGATCATTTTTAATTTTGAAAAGATTTTAAATTAGACCCAAAAATGCATAAACTTGGTTTCATTTCTTTGCAATCTGATAATTTATTTTCCTTTAACAGATCAGCTGTTTGAGTCAAAAATTCATGGATATTTTAGGAGAATATTCATTAGCTCAGACAACTTACAGAGAAAAGAGAAAAAAACTTTTGAAGAAACAATTAGAAATAAGTATGACATTATTTGTACTCTTTTTGGCTGACCTGACCATTACAGTACGCAAAAGATATCGCCTTAAATAACTTTTATTCTAATGATCGGATTTTCAGAATGGTTTTTTAAATAGGCTAATTAAAGTGCGATGACGCCCGGTGGCTGAGCGGTAGCGCTTCGCGCTGTCGTGCCACAGGTCCCTGGTTCGATCCTCGGGCCGGGCAAGGTTGACTCAGCCTTTCATCCCATCCCTTCAGTGGGTCGATAAATGAGTACCAAGCATGCTTGGGAACTAACCACTGGGGGTTCCGCGTTCGGCTGACCACCTGACCGGAACATCTGCTCCTGCACCCCAGAGCCCATGGTCAAGAAAACTGAGATGGGCACAGTAGGCCTTGGCCCTCTATGGGCTGTCGCGCCACTGAGTTTAGTTTTAATTAAAGTGCGATAACTATTAAATTACAAACACTATAACTTATTTTCTTTTTTTCAATCTCGAATTAAGAATTCGAAATATGAAAGAGTATCTGGAAAATATTTGAGCAGGAGAATTGTTTAGCCCCTTATTTCACTTTCTGTACAAAAGGTTGTATTACTTAAGGAATATTCCCCCAATATCGCCCGAATGTTGTATTTTATCATTTAAACTTACATAATTTAAATGATGTGCACCATCGAATTTTAATTTATGCATATTCTTACATAAGAATATGGATCACTTTTTACATGGATTTATCTTTGAATAAAACAAATTTTTGTGTGCAAAAAAATTTCCATTCCCTTTAAAATTTCCCGAGTTATGGCTAAATGGTCCGAAAGTAACTGAAACGTATTAAGGAGCTGCAATCCAGCTCAAATTCTATTTTGTGCTCAGTTATATTTCTCAGCTATGTTCCGTCCAAAAACACATGTTTTTACAAAGGAAGTTTAAGAGGAAATTAATACGTTTTCCATTAAACAGTGTTTTTTTTTTTCCTATTTAAATCCTCCAGATAGCAGAGTGCTAACAGCATTTTAAAGCATCAATTAAAAATCAAATAAATAAACATTTAATGCAATTTTTTTTCTCTCCTTGAAAACAGTATATATAACTTCATTTAGACATCTCTTCAAGATTATTGACATTTTTAAAAATATGCTTATCAGAAACAATATAAGGCCTTGCAAGAAAAATTTGAAGAAGTAACGAGTCGGCATTTTTTTTGAGCCAGCTCATATATTCCTTCTCATCAAGCAAAACTTCAGGCTGGCTCGTTTCAGTCATTTTATTTTACTTTATTTTATCATGACTATCAATGTTCATAATATTATAACTTTGAACAATGTAAAACACAGGAACAAACTACTTTCGTAGAGGAACTGATGAATCCGCCTATTACTGAAAAAACTTTACGTCAGCCCTGTGGTCAGTGCGAGGTCAGCCATCTTCAAATTTAGGTCACAGCACCCTTAGCCATTTTTTTTTTTGATTACCACCTAGACTAAAAAATATTTTTCTTCCATTCCCGTGAACAGCTGGTGAAAACGTTGATGATGAGCAATTAGAAACTATGTTAGATGAAAATCGGGCAGTATTTACTCAAGATGTGAGTATATGTGACAATTCTATCATTCTTGGGACCGTTCACACTGTATGTGATCAGCGCATCGTTCTAGAGACAGAATTCGATTGGTGAGCTTTTCCTGGGGGATTCACCAATCAGATTCTTCCTCGGAACAGCGTGAATGGCATGCAGTGAGAATGGTTCTTAAATGGCTATTTTACTGCGGTGTATATTATGTTTAACAGGTATTAATTGTATAGAAGATAAAAACGTTATTCGATGATTGGTGGTTGTTGCTGTAGTAGTTTATTTGCGTCGCACTAGAGCTGCACAATGGGCTATTGGCGACGGTCTGGGAAACATCCCTGAGGATGATCCGAAGACATGCCATCACAATTTTGATCTTCTGCAGAGGGGATGGCACCCCGTGACGGTAGCCCGACGACCTGCATGCGAAGTCGAGCACTTTACGGTAGAACAATTTAACGAGGACCCATGCCGCACACCCTCGCTCCCTACGCAGACTGATCCAAGTGGTCACCCACCCGCACACTGACCGCAGCCAGTGATGCTTGACTTCGGTGATCTGCTGGGAACCGTGTCTTAACGATCAGTCCACTGCGGGACGATTATTGGTGGCATTCTGCTAATCCAACAGAAATTGAATCAAGATTTTAAAAAAGAAAGGATTTTCGACAGTGCGGTTATTTTTCGACGCATGGTTTAAAAAATTGGAAAAGTGGGGGAAAAAGAATAATAGAAAATCCGAGGAAGAATCTGATACTTGAATATTAGAAGGGCATAATTTAAATTGATTTGTACATAATTCAGGCCTATCAGTTGAGTATCAGTTATGTAAACCTGATACTTTTGGTATTAAATATTTATCTTTATAGAAGTAAAAATTATATTCTTTAGCATGATTTTCAGTAGAGTTAAATTTAATTCAAAATAAATTTTTTAAAAAGAAATATGATATAATGTCATTATTTCCGTAACAGAATCGTGGCGACATTGTCGCAAAACGATGTCGAGTTCATGAAAAAAGAATTTCCTTTCGGAAGTAAAAAATTTTGGTTTTCTTTTCTGCAGAAATTTTTGAAAGATTTTATCTCTTCTTCCAAACTATATTCGAAAGATGCATTTCTTGTGCATCTGAGTGGGGGGGGGGAGTAGGAATTGACATTTTATATTGCTTGTTCCAAATTATTTTAAATTCATGTCAATTTCATATGCTCTAATAACTAATGTCGAAAATTACATTTTTTGATAGACATTTAGCGACACATTATAAAATCTAAAATTTTATATCAGTTTTAACTATTTAATCAGTTTATTTTTAAAAAGAGTGATATTTCAGTACATAATAGAGATGGAGCGCACGAGAGAAGATCTGGTAGAGGTGAAGGAGAGATACACAGAAATAGTGAAGATTGAGACCAGTCTCAGAGAGCTGGACGACATGCTGCTTAGTCTATCCATCTTAGTCAACAACCAAGTGAGCTACAACATTTCATTTCTAGAGTTTTTAGTTGCTCTTCCGTTGCATTCGCTAACTTCGTTCTGTTTTTTTTTCCTGCTCAATACCTTTCTCGAAGAGAGAAGGCCTCAGCACGGGTTATCATAGGCAAGAAATTCGATCATTTAATTCTTTTTTATAACCGTCGTTGAGCAGCCGATCCAATTTATGACTACTAATGTTCAACTCCGTAGCCTTGTCATTTTGAACCCGATCCAGCAGACAAGGGGGATCAAGTATTGGGTGAAATTTTGGATGAAGCTGACCCGCATTTGCGTTACATGGAGAGGAAGAGCATTGGAAGGCTCTCGATCATTTATTAGTCCAAACGCAATGGCACCTTTCGTATTAAGCACCACTGCGCAGCTTAGTTGACTATTAACTGGATCCGTGCTGCCGTCACCACTAAATCAGTACGATTCCTCGCGACCTTTCTATCCTAACGACCGAAAGTTCACTTTATTGACTGTTATTTTCACTGTTCATTCCAATATGGCGATGGCTCGCCTTCCATTGAGGTGAACCGATTCTTAGCGATTGTACAGTGAAATATCCTCAGATTGATTATGGGTTCCGCTAACCATGGGAGTGATTTCCGTGCAAAGCAAAGTTCAATCAAAAAAGTCCTCCACGAAGGCAGACCAATACTCGAGTCTTCTGGATTGGGTTCAAAATTACAAGACTACGGAATTAAACATTAGTAGTCGTTTCCCGTTCAACAACGGTTATAAAATAAAATAAAATGAAGTATCCAGGTTCAACTTTTTTCGGGTTCTCTTCTGTTTTTTTAATAGTCAAAAGGAACAAATTGAAACTTATTTCAGTTGCCATCGTGAATGACCGAAATCAAGAGAATGTCACGCTTTGGTGAATATCCGAAATATTTGCTACATCCGATTAATTTATTCGTTGATAATATCTGCTGATTAGGAGGAAGGTTAAATACATACTTGACCTTAGAAAAACATTAATGTAGGGAAAAACATCAGTCATAAAGAGCATCCCCTGAGCTCTCATTTTAAGATAATGAAGATGCTCATGTAAGGTACGTTTTACACTGTACCGGTATTGTTTCCAGATACGTACTTAATAAAATACAGAGGAATATGTTATTGTCTGCAATTTTGTCGAAAATCGCTCTTAATAATCTTGTTAATACCCTATCCCAAACCTTTCACGAGCGCTGATATTATAAGTATATACTGGCGGTATATCATCATACAAGGTGTCCCCAAAACAAACGATTTTTTGGGGCATTTTAGAATGTACTATAACTTAAAAATATGCTATACAAAAAAGAAACACTTCTAAAAAAAGCTTAAATAACTGGAATCAAACCATCCGATTTTATAGCATTGACATTTTAATGCTAATCAGGGTTTTATTAATTAGCCAAATTAAACTGAAAGTAACTAAAGATATAGTTTGATTTAAGTAAAATATTCTTTGGTCACATGTTTTTATCATTCCACACAAGCTTTCAAATTACCACCAGGAATCGAATCATTCACAGAGCCACACTTAACCACAGCAGATGCTTTAAAGGGAGAGAAAAAAATTGTCTAATTCTAATTGTCTAATTCAAATTTTAGAATTGCCTTCGATCCCAATTTTGCAGTTTTTGAATAAAATTTCGAAGGAATTGAGCAAGATTGCTTTTTTTTCCAGGGAGAAATCATCGATTCTGTTGAACAACATATCGTGGAAGCCTCTGAAGATGTTCAAAATGGAAATAAAGAAATAGCCAAATCAGCCAAGAAGAACCGAGTCCTCTGCAAGGTTATAACATTCTACTTAAGACTGTTCTTATTGCAAGCATCATTTTTTTTAATTTAAAATTATAATTTTGTAGGCAAAATATTATAACTTTATGAGATTAAGATGTTAATCGTAATGAAATGAACGATTCATTAGACTTACGATAAATTAGATTGATTAACTAGACAACTGCACTTTATATAAATTATAATTTCCATTAGATACGTCACATAACTAATTAGAATGGCATTCAAATAATCTTAGTAACAAGAGAGATTATGCAAGTATCCGTTAGATACAAATTAGCAAGTTCGTTGCCGAATCACGTGATACCAGATGACGTAACTTTTTCCTACAGTCAATAAAGCTTATTAAGAGGTTGCTAGATGCATATTATCAATCAACTATTTTTGCAGAAAATATGTTTTCTCGTGGCAATTGTTCATTAAAGCAAACTTAATTGTAAAATTTAAAAACTGAAGCTGTTAAAAGCTGTTAAGTTGTTAAAACAAAAGTAGAAGCAAAAAAACTTTGATCTTATGTTTACATATTACCATTTTTCAATGATAAGTTTAACCACCTACACTCAGCTGGAAGTGAATGTGTTAAGCCCAAATTTCGAGACAAAAAAATATTTTCAATTAATCTTTTACAGCGATTCTTTTTTTTTTTTTTTTAATCTTTTTTTCCAGAACATAGCGACAGTAAAAAATAAGCGAGTTATTTATAAAATAAGACTTTAATGAAACGTTTCACTTAAAATGAATTATATTTAAAAGGTAGTTTAAAAAAAGAATATGAAATGCTGCTTTATCCTTATATAACTGCTCTAGTGTAAGAAGTTATTAAAAATTAACCCCAACCTACACTCAATTCTTTTCCTTCAAGACGATCATTCGATTTCTCACTCATAGCCTCCCCAATTGTAAAATTAGCTCTTAATTTGAATTTGCATTTTATAAAATAATTCAATTTATAAAAAAAAAACGTTTTTTTGATTTAAAGTTCTCAGTTAGAAAAATTAATTATACAAAATTGTTATGATTTGCCTTTGGCTTGAACTTTTAGAATTTAGGTAATACTTTTGATATTTGTCTAATTTACTGGCTCATAATTGAATGCGAGGGACATTGCAACTTTGAATCTTCTAAGCAATTCCGAAGACAAATTATTCTTAATTTTTCAGAAGAAAATCTTGGCCATCATACTTGTCCTGGTATTGATAACTGTAATAACCATAATAGCAGTAGTCTTCAGCAGCATGTAAAGTGACGCTCATTTGATACTTAAGAACTAATCAGCTAAAAGTAGTTGGACTGATGCATAAACAAGAGTTGTCCTCCGGAAGACGCTGGAAAAAATTGGATGAAACTGAAGGGAATAAATACAATTGTTAAACAATCAGTATTATAAGCACCAGAGAGTTTTTTTTATCTTTGTTTGAATTTTAGCTATTGTTTTTATTTTGGTTTGTACATAAGTTTATATATCATATTTTTTGCCTGTAATATTTAACAGCATTTGATAATAGAAAGTGCTAATCGTGAATTCACAATGTGATTTGATTTGTAGTATGTGTTACTAAAATTTGATTTTAACAGTAACTACAATAATAAAAGTAAACAAAATTCCTACTTTAGGGTCAACAAAGAAAATTTTTTAGTTTAGTTACTTTTTATAATTAATGCACTATTTTAAATATACATAGTGTAACCCCTATAATTATTTCTTGTGGTAATATAATACGTGGTCCAATTAAAATATCGGGCTTGACGATAACATTGAAAAATGATTTCCTAATTTTAATGGATATTAATAGGTCCTCATTTTAAGCTTTTCAGAGCACTTATCTTAGATATACATACATAGTAAAATACACATTGTGTACCCCCTAGTGGGTCTATAATTATTTCCTTTGGTAGGGTACACTATTCCTAGGTAATATAATACGTGGCCCTATTTTTAAAGATCTACACAAATTCTTGCTTATGCAGATGATCTTGATATTATAGGAAGACTAGACCAGAGTTTCTTAACCTGTGGTTTATGCAGTGCCGTAACTTCACCCGTCGGGGCCCTGGGGCAAACATTTTTGGCGGGGGCCCTTTTAAAAACTTTCAGTACTCCATCTCTAACCGTCATTTTAGATATTTATGTCTTATATTAGCGAATATATTTATGAAACAAGTTATTTGTACGCATATAAATTGGATTACAAAACATTGTAAGTTTTAAACATGACAAAATGCAAAATTTCAGTGAAATCGATTAATCCTGAGAAATTAAATTTTAAAAAAGTCGTACTTATAAGACTCGATTTCTCAGGAACTAATGCACTATTCAACCAATTTCGCTCAAATTTGTATTTTCCATGTGGAATTAAATACTTTAAAATGACAAAAAAAAAAAGCTATATGCCTTACGATTTAAAAGTTTTCAGACTGTTACTGTCCCAAAGGGGACTGATCATTAAGACACGGTTCCTAGCAGATCGCCGAATTCAAGCATCACTGGCTGCGGTCAGTGTGCGGGTGGGTCACCACTTGAGTCAGTCTGCGTAGGGACCGAGGGTGTGCTGTATTGGTCCTCGTTAAACTGCTCTAAGATAAAGTGCTAGACTTCGGGTGCAGGTCACCGAGCTACCGAAGCGGGGGGGGGGGCATCCCCTCTACAAAGGATCAAACCTCAAGGGATGTTTCCCAGACCGTCGCCAATAGCTTTTTGTGCAGCACTAGTGTGACGTAAATGATCAACATACCCTCCAACTTATGAGGATGTTGAAAATAATTCTTTCTAGTGGTAGCGAACCAAAGTAGAAATTTTTAAAGCAAATGGATTTCTCATAAAACTTTTATCAGAACTTAAGAATCTAGCCATATGGCCTGCACTTTTATAAGTAATAGTGGACAAGTTACGCTAAGATAAATTTTTTTTAAATATTAAGACATTAATTTTGCTACCGTCTGAAAAGAAGATTTCTGAAACTACGGAAATTCCGTAGCAGTTGGATGGTATGGATCAACATCAGACTGTTATCAATTAAAAATTAGTAAATATTTACTAAAAGTTATTTTTTGAATGGAATTATCCTTAGATAACAGAATTTTATAATCGTGTGCAAAATTTTTTCAATTCCCTTAAAAAGCTCTCGATCTGTAATGAAATACAAAAAAATAAAATTAACATTTGGGGATCCAAACTTTGGATAGCTCACCCGACCCAACTATTGGGACCATATTCCCCAGACTACAGCTACCTCCTATATTACGGGAGTTAGAAAATCGAATCTGTTGAACAAAAGTTATGTTGATTCAGAGAAAGTATGTTTTTATGTCTGATTGCGTAACATAAAATAAAATATCGTGCACTAATTAATTTGCATATTTGATGTCACACCCTCGAATTATTAAGATGGAGTCCTAGAACGTGAAGATCCGATCATTAAATCAAAAGTAATTCAGGGTTGTACTTTTTTGGTTCACTGTACGTAAATGTTACCAATTTCCGACATCTCACCGAGTAAATATGACTAGGGGAAAAATAGCTATTCATGTTGTCTACTTCTGTCCCCCATATGTCCACAATAGCCTCATTTTCCTCTAAATATAATGCTAATCATAAAATACCAATTTTATAAACCTGTTGAATCCGGTTACTATATCGTTAGGAAGGTCTTTTCAAGACAAAACCATTATAAAAATGAAAATTATTTTTTAGTTTCAAATCTAAAAGTTTTTGATCGCGTTATGGAAGCAGAAGGAAATTATACACTTTTTTTTTCTATCGGCACATGTACCCACATTTTAAAAAGTCCTAATTGAAAAAATATTCAGAAATTTTTTTCTCTATATACATCGATTAACAAAACAAAGTTGCCTTTCTCCAATATCGACAGGTCCTTAGAAAATCGTTCTTGAATATTTGGCCTATGTATTCATGACGCCATGAAATCATATGTGACAAAATTATGACGAAGAGAAATAGTTTTTTTTTATGAAAGAAAAATGAGAAAAACTTAAAGCATATTTGCCAATTAAAAAAAAATTCTTTTTAATGGTTTGTCAGGGAAATGAATTTTAATTGCTACGGATTTCTAAGCTGATGTTCATAGCTTTTTTATTAAATTAAATGCGTTTCTTTATTAAATTAAATATGATTTTTTTTAATATAAAATAAAGATTGCATTTCACTTTTTAATGAAAACAAAGTTGTTAAAAACCCTAAAAATTCGAAGTTCCAATTTAAAAAATTTAAAGGTGTTAATAATTTGAAAAATATAAAATAAGAACAAAATCCATGCACCCAATAAACAGTAAAATTATCAATTAAAGTATTTACTATACAAATTAAATTTTATATACGAACATAAAAAAAACAATTTTTATGTTACCATTCTTATAAAAGAATTCGAACAGTATATAAATATAAAAGTATTTAATGAGTTAATGCAAACATTTACTTACCTCCTTATAAATAAATTTACATTTGGTTTTCTTGTTTTCCAAAGAAAATTTTTATTAAGAATGGGAATTATTGATATCACGATTTATGTTTGAAAAAAAGGGAGTTGCAAGTAATTTCAATAACTCTTAATTAAAGTTAAATTTTAATTTCAGAAATTGAATAAAATAAAAGCTAACAGAAAGTTTATATCTGAATTAAAAATGGTTAATTTAAATGACGCAATTAAATGAGCTAAAAACTGAAATTTAACTGGAACGTTTTACGTTTGTCTCAGAAAAAATCTCTTGACAAAATGACCTAAGTAAATGTCAACAAGAGTCATCCCCTTGGATCCCTTAAAAGCTTACATCTATTTTCCTAGAACATCTAGATAATTGCTAGTTTAAGACAACTTAAGGGACATATAGATGGTACTGTAAATATATGACATTTTATAAAAGCACAAAAGAGCCCAGGGTCATAAAAATGAATAAGGCAATTTAAAGAAGCAAAAGGTCATTTTCCCATGGTGTAAAAGAAGATGGCTATTTTTTGAGGAGTCAGATAACTGTGGGTCAACTCTGTGGGTGGTATGAAGGTTTTAACACCTTCATACCACTCACAGTCAAAAGATTCTTTAAAATATATCTATTAGTCTCAGTGTAGGATGCATTTTTCAGGATGCAAAACAGTGGTACTTATTTTAGTTTTCTAAACACTTCTTATGTTTTTTATGATGTGCTTCTCTTCTCTTTTCGTGTTTTAGTTTTAAATTTTTTTAATAAATTAAAATTCGTAATATATAGAAAAAAATTGAAGCAAAACAGAAGTATTTTTCTTGTGGGGGGGGGGGGATTTCTACTTCAATTTGGAAAATAACTAGTAAATTGGAAAAAAAGTAGTTTCTTTTTCTACAATTCTCAATTCTATTTTAGTTTATTGTAGCGAATGTCAAATTTTCAGAAGGGGTGGCGCACATTATCTTCCATCTCAATTAAATTTCAGAGGAAAATAAAGTTTTCGATTTGGAAAATAGCTTTTAAAGTCGAAAATAAGAGTTACATATAAATTTTACTTGACTTTATTTCTGCGAATGTCTGAATTTCAGAAGGGTTGAAGTATATTCTTCGCCCCCTCACTTTAATTTGAGAGGGGAAAAAAATTTTTTTTTTAGAAGATAAATTCAAAGCTTTTTTTTTTAAAAAAAAAAAAAAACAATTTTACTAGACTTTATTATTTCAAATGTCTAAATTTCAGAAGATACAAAGTACATTTTATCCCCCCTTACTTTATATCAGAAGAAAATAAAGTTTCCTATCCCCTTACTATAATTTAAGAGGTTGGAAAATATCGTCGAAGTTATGAAACAAAACAATTTTTTTCTTCTGAAATTTCCTACTTTACTTGATTTTATTCTATTAATGTCTAAATTTCAGAAGATGAGAAGCAATCTCCCCCCCCCCACACACACACACACTTTTATTTCAGAAGAAAATAAAGTTTTCTATTTAGAAAATAGATTCAAAGATGAAATTTTTTTTAGTTACCAATTTCTATTATTTTTTAGCACTTCGAAATTTCAAAAGGGGCGAAACACTATGTTTGCCCCCTCATTACTATTTCTGAAAAAAATAGAGCGAAAATTGGAAATAAAATATTTTTTCCACTTTCATTTTACTTTTCCAAAAGTCAAAAAATACATTAATCGCCCATAACAAAATAAAGTTTCCTACTTGATGTATAACTTCAAAGCTGAGAAAGAATAGCTTTTTTCCCCTCTAAAATTACCTATTTTAATGGACTTCGTCTTGGCGAATAACTAAATATCAAAAGAGGCAAAGCACATAAATGTTAGTGGAATATTAAGGTTTTCTTATTTCAAAAATAGCTTCAAAATTGAAAAAAAAAAATTTAAATTACTGATTTTACTTTATTTTTTTGAGTGTCTAAATTTCAGGAGGGGCGAGACGCATCGTTTGCCCCATCACTTAAATTTTAGAGGCACGCCACTGGGTCTGACGCTCGATAGTAGAGGAAACAACTAAGTAAACCAGAAATGCAATATACAAAAAGTGCTAACAATCAACTACATGCAGCTGTGGCCTTTCCCCTTCTCTGCAAAGTGTGTTTGTTCTTTTGAGAAAGGGAAATAATTCGCGAAAAGGTGTTTTACCGTTTTTTACCCTTTCTT